AGACTCACACTGGTAAGAGGAAATGGAGACGAGCACGAAGGAGGGCCTTAGGTAAACATTTCACCAGAATGATTGACAGTTAGGAGGACCAATGATTGAGATGATTCACCTGGAAAAACAACATCCTCCACTATAGCTTTAAGAGTGCATTACACTGATTGATCACTTGCCACTGTGAATAATCGAGCTGTTACATTTCAAGCAAACTGTAGTCGATGTTCCATTTTTTAATTCTAAAAGTGCAAAATCTTTTTAAAAATAAAACAAGCCGAATCAGTCAAAAAACTAAAAGCATGGGTTTTTATCTACCTGTTGACACCATCCGCATTTGTTAGGATATATTCCTAAACATATATATTTTGGCTATTTGGGATGATTTTCAAAGTTATATTGAGCTTTTAGAAATCATTTGGTTATCCTGTGGACATGAATAATAACAGTGGTGTGAAAAGTTCACACATTTGTTACTTCAGTAGAAGTATAGATCCTGCAGTTTAAAAACACTCTGGGAAAATTTAAAGTATCAACTTGACCTCTTTACTCTTTACCTCTTTACTTGGTCTCCGTCTCCCGATACGCTCTCGCCTGTGTCCGACCTTTCAGACATTTCAACATCTTTTTCTGAATCCCACATTGTAGCATGGCATAGACAATTCACGTTAGCAGTTTTTCACTAGATGTGGGTGGAGCCAATGATCTGCATTGGATGGAGCACATGACGGGAAATAAATATTTAGAAGCATTAAACCGAAGCCAAGAGTAACGAGTAACGTTTGGTTTAAAAATGTAAGGAATAGAAAGTACAGATACTTGTGTGAAAATGTAATGATTAGAAGTCAGAAATAGGAAGAAATATAAGTAATGGAGTAAAGTATAGATACCTAAAAAGTGTACTTAAGTACAGTAACAAAGTATTTGTACTTCGTTACTTGACACCTCTGAATAATCTGCTGGTTTTCTGATTTAATCCCAGATTATCAGACCAAGACTGAACCTGATGGTTGAAGCATCAGATGGATCCGTTGGCAGCATAACAATAATAAACAGGAAGCTTTTAAACCTGTTTATCAGTCAGGAAGCTGGTTCTGATGGATTAATCCATCAGAACCAGCTTCATTCAGGAAGCTGGTTCTGATGGATCAGAACCAGCTTCCTGAATGAAGCTGAATGAAGCTGGTTCTGGATTATCAGCTGGTTCTGGATTACCAGCTTCCTGAATGAAGCTGGTTCTGAAACTGGTTCTGATGGATTAATCATCCAGAACCAGCTTCATTCAGGAAGCTGTGCTCTCAGGAAGCAGGTGGTTGTTTGGTTCAGGCGGAAACATTAAATATTTTAGTTTGATCAAAGTCAAACTGATATAAGGATAAAGTCACATCATTTTTATTATAATAATTAGATTACTTTCATAATTTTACAACTTTATTCTTGTAGTTTTACGTCTTTAGCCTGAAAACCAAATATTATGATTTTAGTCTTTATTTTTATTTGATTTTCCATTTATAACATTTCTCTTATTATGCCCTTAAATCTCTGTCTTGTGGCAGAAACTAGAATAGTTTCAAATGTTTTGCAGTTTCAAGTCACGCGTGGAAATGGAGACGTTCCCCTTTAAGCTGCTGCCGCTCAGGCAGAGTGGAGCATCCTGTCAGCAGAGCAGGATCTTTGCAGCAGTCTGCGGCCACAGCTCCCAGTAAGAAAGGGATGATGGGAGCCAGGCTGCGCTCAGCCTGACTGGGAGGGCTTTGGTTTCCCAGCTGACACCAGAAGGCCGCCACAGGTGAGTCCATGACGGCCACGGTCTGCGCCTTAAGCCGCGGTCCGTGGATGCTCTGCGTGGAGGTCCGTCCACGGCAGGAAAAAACAGCAACTTCACGCTCCGTGGGTTTATTTTCCTCCTGGATGAGATTTAAATTCTCCGCTTCTGGTTTCCTGCTTCAGTCTCAACGATTCGGACTTAATTAGCTGATCCTTAATTGGTCTCTACCCCCCCATTTCTCCCC